CTACAGTGACTGAACGATCACCTTGGAACTTTCAGCGATTGCTAAGAATAACGGTACGTATAAAATTTTAATCTTGAAATTTTCATATCGGTGACCTAAAATCAGATTAGACTGGGTCTGTTGTCACTGGTTCAGTTGTATACTGGTTCAGTTGTCCGCTGGTTCTGTTGTCGCTGGCCCAGTTCTGATCGGAGTCGGAGTCGATTTTGGAAGCCAGAGTCAAGTCCCAAAAATCCATCAGCTCCGCAGACCTGACAGGGCTGCAGAGTTGGAGTCGGCATCGTTCGGACTTCGGAGTCGACAGCTCTGCTCGGAGTGGATTTAATTTTTGGAAGTCGGAGTCAGAGTCACCGAAACTCCATCGACTCCTCAGCCCTGCCACCCGAATGCCAGCTTTTCCCCTGCATCGTATGTGTCATTAAAGCCTTGCCATAACCATTACTGCTACAGTCATTACCGCTTATGTTGGGGGCTACCCGCAGAGTGCGGGGATTTGGGAGCTGCTACCTGCTGGGCCGCATTGCACATTGACAAATGCGGGCCATGCGCATAGGTGTTTTGTGCACGACACGACCCGCACGTGTTGTTCACACTAATTACAGTTAAAAGTGCGCCGTGCCGCCTACAGGCACACTGCTAGCTTGGCACGTGTTCACGTGGCAGACACGGTCACAAACACGTGTCAACGACAACGTGGCGCGGCGAGAGGACATACAGTCGAACCACGTTTATGGCTTACGAGTGTAAGCCTCGCCAGTGTAAGCTATACTAGTCAGTTGGGGCATTTCACGTCAAATCAAACACCGAAATCCGTCATCCCCTTCGATTTTTCTGAAAATTTGTAGGCAGACTGGGCATGGTTCAAAACTGAGTTACGTATAATATTTTCGAAATTTGATAAAGTATCGCTGAGATATAGGTCATCGAATATCGCCAAAAATGACACATCAATTTTTTAAATGTCTATAACTCTGGTTCCTTTTCTGGTATCAAAATGATATTAACAGGGTCTTGTAGGCAATTGATAAGGCTTTGATTTTTAATTATAAAATTAAATTGAAGTGACCTTGAAATGCATTTGACCTTGAATTAAAACAAGATTTTAAATAGCAAAAAACACGTCACCTTCGATTCGGGTAATTTTTACATATTATGTCCGTCACAATGTTCCTAACCATCTGTGACAAAAATTGGAGTGGGCCATTCATAACCCGCGCCCCGCTGGGCTATTCAGCCATACGCGCCCTGCTGGGGGGGGGGCAGATTCTGCCCCCCCCCCCTGTCTAACTTCCGAACCGATGGTCGTAGAAAGACGGGGAAAACGGCAATCGAAAGCTCTCAACAAGGCGGATCTTAAGAGCCCAAATTTTTTTGCTTAAGTAGGTCAGAGGTCAGGTCAAGGTCAGGTCAAGGGTACAAAATGCAAGTTTCTACAGTATCGGCCTTGCACCGTAGTTGCTGAAGAATGGACTGAGACTGATTGCCCAAAACGTGTTCTTAGACTACCAAGACAAAATTCGTTGCACACAATGTCATTCAAAGGTCAAGGTCAAGGTCAGGTCAGGTCAGGTCAGGTCACCAAAAACAAAATATAGAAAAGGGCATGTGCGACACATGTTTTATGGGTCATTTTACTCATGGAATGCAATAGGCACACTCACTAAGTGATATGGACCACCTCTGGATGAATTTCAGGTCGAGGTCAGGTCAAGGTCAGGTCAAGTGAGGTCAAATTTTGAAGTTGGTTGTTAAGGCCTAAAAAGGTGTCTATCCGATGCAGTTTTTCACGGCGAATCGAATGGTGCTATTTTTGTTTCCGTACGAGGTCTAGAACTTCCAAAAAAATCATTTTTCAAAATTTTTGTGTGTCGTGACGTCATAAAATTTTGAATAACTCCCACATTTTTTAACCGATTCTTCTAAAAATTGGTATGTAGGTGCACATAGACCACTTCTTTGACATATATTCCGGTTTTTTCGATAAACTCAAAATTTTGGATTTTATAAATATTTTCCCAAAAAAGTCAGTTTTTTGGAAAAATTTTGGCCAAAATCCAAAATTTTCAAAAAACCGAGATAGCCATTTGATAGACAAAGTAGAATCACGTATAAGCTTTTTTGTTACGTCTTGATTCCTTTAAAAATGAAGATGTTAGCGGCGTTTGAAATTTTGCCGTTTTTGAGGCGAAAATGGCGAACATGACGTCACTAAAACGTCAATTTCTCAAAAATTTTCCGACGGATTTCGCTCAAATTTTGAGGGAACGTGTCAAATTGATGTATGATAAGGTACTGAAAGTTTGAAGTTGCTGGCGTAACGCGTTTAGATGTTATTGGCGAAAAACGGGAGGGGGGCAGATTCTGCCCCCCCCCCCCAGCGGGGCGCGGGATAACTCTCGCGGCAAACACCGTTTTCATGCATCAACATCACGCAACCGCGCGTGACCTTGAAAGAGAGTCAAGACATGCTTGCTTGTGTACACTTTCTGAAATGAATGATTGCTGATTAGTGATATCCCAAACTCTGCGAGAATGGAAATACATAGTCATCGTAGTCAAGCATTCAAGTTCCATAGTAAAAGTGTCTCAGGCAAACGGTATTTTGCGGTGAATTTTGAGCCGTGTGGAAATGCATCATGAAGCCAAAAATTCAACGAAAACATTATCACGCAACGATATCTTCACGTCTTTTTATCTTCACTATACGAAAGAATATACATTTTTGAGTATGTATGGGGAATTTCTAGTTAATCCAATAATAAATATGGCAGTTAGAGACCTGCTAAGAGTAACTGTCGCCGGCTGAGGCGGGATCGGCCGACGCGGGAAACGCAGCAATCACAATTTTGTGTTTACACGTTCATATTTCGATTGTTTACCAACCGATTTTCAAAATTCTTACACCATAAGATTGCCTGTACATTTTTTAGTCTTCTCACAAAATTTGACGCGAATCGAACGTAATCAGCGGTAAGGAGCGCGATGTAAAGACGGAACCGTTCCGTTCCGTCCCGGCACAGTCTACAATTCAGGCGGCGGCTAGCGGTCGGCGCCGGCTGCCGAGTCGCCGCGTCGCCGCGGCGACAGGATTTTCACTTTACACCGCTATTACTAGAGCAGTTGTGAACCGATTTTCTTCTTGCTTGCACGATGAGATGTGCAATTCAATTTTGGACAGGTAGCTATAATTAATTTCGCATTAATACTATGAGATATTGGCGAAAAACAGGAGGGGTGGGGCGAAATTCTCTCTTCCCCCTCCACTGCGCGTGCTAACATACGTTTGCATATGTGCCATTTTCTTCAAAACTTATGAATGGCCCACTCTAATTTTTTCACAGGCTGTTAAGAATATGGTAGGCAATAAAATATATGAAAATTAGCCAAATCGAAGGGGACGTGTTTTTTGCTATTTCAATTTTTGTGCTTAAGAACAGAGTTAAGCAAATTTCAAGGTCATATATTTAAGTAGGTGCAATTTTAAACAAATGCTTAAGAAATTACCTGAACAGTAAGGTTTATTTCATTCAAATCAAACAAGTACAACTAAAGTTATGGTCGTTCAAAAATATAAAGATGCAACATTAGTGTAATAATTCGATGCCCTATATTTAGAAGACCTGTGGTCAGAATATGCAAAAAACATCAATGTAATGTTCGGGGCGACACAGGAACTCGCTCACAAATTTATAATGAAATCGCTGATGGTAAGGTGCAAAACAGCCGATTTTTGTTCGATTTGACGTGGAATGCCCCAGTTGTCAGGCGTGTAGCGCAGTGCAGCCCATCCTTTGTGGTGAAACGTGGAAGAGTATCGCAACTCCCTAGTAATTTTCAAGGGACGCTGAATTTTATTTGGAATCGCAACTTACAACCTGTTACGGAAAGTGGAAACGGACGCAGCTCTGCGGAAACTGCCCCGACCAAAGTTTCTTCCGGGATGCTGTAAGCATTTTCTGAAGGAATCGGTCGATCGAACACACATCTTGGTGTTCTGTGTCTATGCTAAATGTAGAAATGCGTCAAAACGGTGGGCAGTCACGCAGTGAATGACGAGCCACTCATCGCACGGCTCGATTTCCAGAGCAAACTCGGCATGGTGCATTGCGGCACAGTACGCATTCAGGCGTTTTAGTGCTGCCATCTGATATGTACTGGTATTTGCATCTCGAGGTGGTGGTGAGTTTGCATCTCTGACACAGGCTCGTCGGCTGACGCCGGTCATGTGGTCAGCTGGCCCCGGGCTACGCCGGGCTGGCCGGCGGCTCGGGGGCTGTCTTGGTTGGGCTGTGACCGAGAGTGGTGTTCGTCTATGGTGAAGGTGCTGGGAATACATCATACATGGCGACGAGGATGAGATAGAAGACAGGACGGCACCAGCTACCACGGTCCAAGGCAGGGAAGTAGCAAGTAACTGTTTAAGCAAGTAGCAAGTAAGTAAGCGAAATGGCACATGGCAAGCTGACAGCTTTCGAGCCAGCTGAGGAAACGTTTGAAAATTACTTACAGCGTTTCCAGTTTTATTGCTCAGCCAATGATGTACGAGCCGAGTCCAAGCAAAAGGCTTTGTTTTTAACGGTTGTGGGACAGGCAGTGTTTGGGAAGATCAAAGATTTGATTAGTCCGGTCACATTGGAGGAAGCTACCTTTGAGCTTATCAAAGAGAAGGTCAAAAATCATTATCAGCCACAGCTGGTAGAGATCGCAGAACGCTACAAGTTTTTCCAACGCAGACAGCGTGAAGAGGAAACAGTTGCAGAATACCTGGCTGATTTGAAAAAGATTGCCAGTAACGCTCAGTTTGGGGACTATTTAGACACGGCTCTAAGAGATCAGTTAGTGTGTGGCTTGTATGATAGTCGTTGTCAGAAGGAGCTGCTCTGCATGACGTCCTTGACTCTCGAAAAGGCTGTTCAACATGCCCGGGCATTTGAAGCTGTGTTAAAGGAGGCCGGGGTATTTTCAGCGTCCGGGGTACATGAGATCCAGAAAGACAGACTGAAGGGGCCGGGATTGAGCTGTTTCCGATGTGGTAGAGTGGGACATGATGCCGATGCCTGTTGGCATGTGAAAACTGTCTGCAACAAATGTCACAGAAGAGGTCATTTGGCCGTTGTATGTCCGAAACAGTCGAAAAACAGAGAAAATGGAAACTGGCAGTTTGCCAAGCGTGCTGATCGTAGAACAGGATTTCACAGGACGGCAGGAGAGAGAAAGTCCAGCAGTCACGCGGTAGAGGAGGTGCAGGAGACTGAGGGGCGACGACATCCGGAGCAGCAACCGCAGTCACCATCGGACTCGTCAGGTACCGAGGAGTTCGAAGTGCTGCACACGCACAAGGTTCGACGAGGTAAGCTGCTCACTTCTGTTCTTGTAAATGGGAAACCGGTGACTATGGAGCTAGATACCGGAGCAGAGATCACCACTCTGCCGCTACATGTGTTTGAAAAGGTGTTTCCCGACACTCACTTAGAGCCCACTCACAAGAGGCTCAGTCAGTATGACGGATCACCGCTTAAAATGATTGGTGAAATGCCAGTTACCGTGGAGTACAAGGGCCAAACGATGACAGACAGCATGTTGGTTGTAGATGTCAAAAGTCGCTATCCTCTACTGGGTAGAGATTGGATGTTCAAGGTACGGTTTGACTGGAACGAGATATTTTATGGAAGGGTCGAGGAAGAGAAAACCATGCATGCGTTACATGAAGTGTCTGTATCTGCGTTCCAGAGGAAGTACCCAGAGCTCTTTTCGGAGGGGCTTGGGGAGGTCGCAGGAGCACAGGCGCAGGTGGAACTGGAAACCGGGGCGCAGCCACGGTTTTTCAAGAGCCGACCTGTTCCGTTCGCTCTGCGGGACAAGGTGAACAAGGAACTGGAACGCCAGATCAAAGAAGGTGAGCTGTTGCCTGTGGAACGGAGCGACTGGGCAGCACCTTTGGTGTTGGTCAGAAAACCTGGGGGTAACGTACGAATCTGTGCAGATTACAAGGTGACTGTAAATCAGTGTGTAAAAGAGCAAGCTTATCGGCTCCCCACGGCAGAAGAGATATTCAGTACATTAGCTCATGGAGAGTCTTTCTCAAAATTAGATTTAGCCAACGCTTATAAACAGTTGCCACTAGCCCCAGAAAGCCAGGCTGTGTTGACCATGAATACGCCATTGGGGCTGATGAGGCCCACCAGACTTCCGTTTGGGCTCAAGATATCTCCCAACCTGTGGCAGAGGACGATGGATGAGGTGCTGAAAGGGCTGAATGGTGTGGCATGCTACTTGGATGACATTTTAGTCACAGGAAGGACCAGAGAGGAACACCAGGCGAACCTGGACGCGGTCATGCAGAGGCTTCAGGAGCGCGGGCTGCGTCTGCGGAAGGAGAAGTGTGAACTCTTCAGAAAGACGATCATCTACTTGGGACATGAAATATCTCAGGACGGCCTTCGCCCAACAGATGAAAGGGTGAGAAGCATTGTGTCTATGCCCGTGCCACAGAATGTCAAGGAACTGCTGACGTTCTTAGGACTCATGACGTACAATGCCAAATTCATGCCAAATTTGTCATCAGTACTGAGACCCTTGTACGATTGGACAAAGAAGGGAGCCAAGTGGGTTTGGACACAAGAATGCCAAAACAGTTTTTCTCAAGCTAAGGCTGGTTTGTCCGGGGCCGGGGCGCTGGCCCACTATGATGTTGACAGGCCGCTGAAAATGTACTGTGATGCGTCCTCATCTGGGGTGGGAGCGTGTCTCGTGCATCAGTTTCCAGACGGCGTCGAACGGCCAGTAGCATATGCATCACGCACGCTCTCTGAAGCGGAACAGAAGTATGCGCAAATTGAGAGAGAGGGATTGGGCATCATCTTTGGTGTGAAGCGTTTTCATCAGTACATTTGTGGCCGTCACTTCACACTGGTGACGGATCACCGTCCGTTGTGTCGCATTTTCAGTCCGTCAGCTGAGACGTCAAGCGTGGCAGCAGCGAGACTCCAGAGATGGGCTTTGATTCTTAGTATGTACGATTACGAAATTGAGTTTGTGTCTGGTTTACAGAATGTGCCGGCAGATGTCCTCAGCCGTCTTCCGAGCCGAACAGAATCGGATGATGAAACCTGGCAGGTGTGCAGCGCAGAAGAGGAAGAGCTGATCTGCGCGACCATCGAGGACGACATCTTGCCGGTGACTGCTGATCAGGTCGCCAGGCAGACGGCCAGGGACCCCGTCCTCGGTCCAGTGCTGAGCTGGGTCCGGTCCGGGGCATGGCCGAAGAAGACGGAGGCCAAGTTTCAGCCATACATCAGATGCAGAGACGGTTTGACAGTCGTTGACGGATGTCTTCAGGTGGGTGAAAAAGTAGTCATACCCAGCCGATTCAGACGTCAGCTGCTAGAGGAGTTACATGAGGGACACCTGGGGGTGTGTAAAATGAAGTCATTAGCTCGAGGTTTTGTGTGGTGGCCGAATCTGGATGACGAGATAGAGCAGTTGTGCCAACAGTGTGGTCCGTGCCGAACTAACGCTCAGAGACCGGCCACCTCCGCTGTGCACCCATGGGTGTATCCCTCGGCACCGTGGGAAAGAGTGCATATTGATTTCGCGTCCCATCAAGGTCGGGATTATCTTGTTCTCGTAGATGCGTTTTCAAAATGGCCGGAAATAGAGGAAATGCATGGCACAACAGCTACAAAAACGATAGAAGCGCTGACAAAAATATTTGCCACTCATGGTTTCCCAGTGACCCTGGTTTCGGACAATGGCCCGCCGTTCAAATCAGCAGAATTCGAGAACTTCTTGAGATCGAGAGGCATTTTCCATCGTGCCACTCCGCCTTATCACCCAGCATCAAATGGCCAGGCCGAGTCCATGGTGAGGACGTTCAAGTCGTTTTTAAAGAAACAGCAGTCGAACGGCAGGAGCCGTGCAGTAGCAGTCTGTCAGTTTTTGGCACGATACAGAGTGACGCCGTGTTCGTCCACTGGGAGGGCGCCGGCCGAGCTGTTACTGGGAAGAATGCCTCGCACAAAGTTATCTCTTCTGAAGCCCTCCGTGACCCAAAGATTGAAGGGTCCGGGAGAGTATGTGTATTCACGAGAGTTTCTTGCAGGTGATTCCGTGCTGCTGCGAGACCTGCGACCCGGCTCGGCGACTAAGTGGCGCAGAGCTACTGTTACTGGACGGGTCGGACCTCTGGTGTACGAGGTCTGCATCGACGGCCGGACCCGGACCGCTCACCTGGACCACCTGCTGGCGGACCGGACCGTGCCGGACCGCCCGGTGCCGGCCGCTGTTCCGGGACCCGAGCCGGCCCGAACCGACTATAGATCGGGGGAGTATCTGGCGTACGACCGGTGCGCGTCTGCCGGTGGTGCATCGGTGCCGCTGCCGAGTGAGATCGAGACGCCCGGGGAGGCTCATCGACGTCGGGAGAGTGGGGACTCCCACAGGGAGCGGTCCCAGCGCTCTGCAGAGGACTCTGGATTGTGGGGTGCGGGTGAGGCTCGTGTGCGACCGGGGAATGAGTGTCAGAGTGAACCAGTGTTAAGACGTTCCGAGCGCTTGAGGAACAAGTTTTCGTGAAGGGGGGAAAAGTGATATGTACTGGTATTTGCATCTCGAGGTGGTGGTGAGTTTGCATCTCTGACACAGGCTCGTCGGCTGACGCCGGTCATGTGGTCAGCTGGCCCCGGGCTACGCCGGGCTGGCCGGCGGCTCGGGGGCTGTCTTGGTTGGGCTGTGACCGAGAGTGGTGTTCGTCTATGGTGAAGGTGCTGGGAATACATCACCATCTAGCCGCAGGGACGCAAGATTTAGTACCCAAACCGGTCGCAGACTGCATACGAATCACACCCAGGGCAGAATCATTATTCCCTTCCGGAATCCACACGATTTTGCGAACGACGCTCGACATATCGCGCCGCTACTGAATGAGAGGACCATTCTCAATCCTAAATAGTCTACATCCTCCCAGACACCTGGCGTTGCGAGAACGGAACTCCCCTCCCTTCGTTCGCTTCTCCCGGCCATTCCTCTGAACCCCTGGTCCCCCTGGTCAAGGAAACAATCCGTACATAACCAGCGTCCAGCCAATCTGCGTTCAATACAACTGCGTTGGTATTTCAGAGCGCTCGACTGCAGGTCATATAATTGCATTTGGTCGATATTTGCCGAAGTGTGTGGTGTAATACAATGTTCAAACGTCCAAATCGTTCTCCCGACCGCTCTCGCCAGCCAAAAGCCACCGTTGGTTCTCGTTCCGCCAATATATTGATAACATCAGCAGATACCAGTTGAAGAAGTGGCAGTCGGAAGGCCCGCGCGCCTGAAACGAAGGACAACGCGAGGTCAGAGCTGGTATCAGTCGGAGAGCGTTAGAAACGGGGAACTTTTAGGATCAGTCCTATCATTGGCACAATCACAGATAATCAGAGGATTGGCTCTATGGTTGTCATCATAAAAGACAGAAAGTCGTTATCCAACATCGCTAGTACCCCATAAACCTTGTAGGCACCTTCCACAAACCGCACAAGCTCCCGAATTTCACTGGACAAGCTATGAAAACCCGTTCCAACTACCAGCCGCAGTCCGGGGCAGTGGACCCGCTCTCACCACACGCACCTGGTTCAGGCCTTGCCGGCGGCAGCCGCCTCCTTCTCCTTCCTGCGAAGGATGTCCTTCTTGAGCGGTCCGAGGAAGGCGGCCTTCTCCGCGGCCGTCTGGAAACGGCCGTGACCAAACTTGGACGACGTGTCGATCCATTTCAGCTCGATCTTCTCAGACGCCACGCGGCTCGTGTGCGTGATCAGAGACTGAGGGGGGCAGAGAAACCGGTTAGGTCAGGGTCAAGGGGTAGACAGATAATTCCGGTATTACAAACATGTGATCTATCTGTCTAAAACAACTGAAGATATCGGGGTTAATAGACAGGAGCACGCAGTAGCAGACGATTATCGCCTTGGGCATTTCAACATGTAGTTCATAACTTGTCAGGCAGGCGCTACATGACTAATATACACTTGCTACGTGGCCTGAATTACATCACTAGCACCGCGGACTGTCCGCCCGCCGGCCAGGTGTCTGATACAGTTCAGTCACACCACCGAGGGAGGGTCACTGTTGGCTCTCAACTGATCATGTCGGACTAGGGCATCGTCCGACAAGAATGGGTAAGAAGCCAACGGCACTGCAACGTGCCGCGTCACTTGGAAAATCGCATGGTAAATCAACTGCAAAGCTGACACTCAACACGGCAAAGCAACTTTGGCATCTAGGGTTTCAGGAATGGCCGAAATCACACATATCTCGACAGCCAGACATTTATACAGTCGCGATTGTTACCTTGCGCAGGGTGAGGACGCGTTTCTTGGGTCCAATGCAGCAGCCCTTGATCATGATGAAGTCGTTGTTGACCTCTCCGTAGCGGACGAAGCCACCCAGGGGGGTGATGGACTTGTCCGTCAGATCGTAATCTGTGCTGGCGTTGTTCTTCACGACCTGCCAGGGAGAGAGAATACGGCCGAGGGGCGGTTAGAACAGTCAGGGAAAGCAAGGTATGAAGATTGTAGAATAGAGATATCAGGCCTATCATTGACAGTCATCGTAATTGATCATTGTTAGCTCAGTTTTTCATCATATCAACTGCTTGCCATGCAACATCAACAATATCGCTAGGCACAAAACTGCACCACATCACTACTTTAACAGCTGATACAGTTACATTTTCATTGAATACCCCCTTCCAACCCGTCTCTTACCAGTCCATCCTTTGTGTGGATGCCGGCGCCCATGCGGTAGATCTTCTTGTTGATCTCCGTCCGGTGATGGTAGCCCTTCTGACCGGCGCGCGCCACGGTGAAACGGACGCGGCTGGGATGCCACGCGCCGATACAGGCCACCTTACGCAGACCCTTGTGCGTCTTGCGAGGCAGTTTCTTCGTGTGCCAACGGCTGGTCACGCCTGAGGGGGAGGGGGGGGGGGTTAGCGAGGGTTTAGAGAGGCGAGGGTGAAGGGAAGGGACGGGCGAATCAGAAGGAAGGCAGCATTGTCGGCGAATCAACACTGTAGTTCAGCCGAAACCATCGGATGTCCATCATTAGTGGGAGGAAAGCGCACGAAAGACACCAATAAAAAAGGTGCAAACTAACGGCCACTGAAGCAATTCCACAAACGCGTTAAATTGGCTGTATATTATTACATAACCTAGAAAAGTTCACATGATATAGACCATAAACATGTTATTTCCTCACTTTTAACACCCAAATCTACCTCAACTATCCCACACACGAAGACTCAGCTAGGCCTCGTCATAACATTCCACCACCACCATGATACAATGCTTGCCGTTTATCGGTGCTAGGTCCATCTCTCTTCGCTTCACTCACCCTTGAATCCGCGTCCCTTGGTGACTCCGATGATGTCAATCATCTCATCGGGCGCAAACACACTGCCGACGGGCACCTGGGACTCGAGCTTCTCACGCGCCCAATCCACCTGATCAGAGACGGTGCCGCCGTTCACCTGGATCTCCATCAGGTGAGCCTTCTTCTGGCGCATGCGCAGCAGCTTCATCTGTTGAAGGAGATACGCGCAGTTGGTGACGGGCAAACAGGGATGGTATTAGCTGCCAGGACCCGGCCGACAACTACATCAACTGAATGTTAGTTTCTCGGGGAGTTGGGGCGCGTATTAACCCTAGAACGCCTAGGGGGGGGGGTTGTATCAACCCCCCCCCTGAGGTTTTTTCGAAGTGCACGCTAAACGGCTTGTCGTAGCGGACTGAAATTTTCAATACCCTCTGGGGCAACCTTTGCGCATCTTTTGCCGAAAAAAAATTGATCGGGTCATGTCAGGTCACGGAGTTATGACGTCATAAGAGGTACAGCCTCCGGCCGGATTTTCACAAACTGAGTGCCAACGCCCGAGGTTTCCTGCCGGTGGAACGGGCATCGGTTGATGGATCGTGATGAAACTTCCCATGCATGTTGGGGCAAGTATTGGCTATCATATGGTATAAGAAATTTGACCGGGTCAGGTCAGGTCACGGAGCTATGACGTCACAAGAGGAACAGCGTCCGGTACAATTTTTGAAAAGCGCCCGAACCACTATTTTGCTAATTCTTGTCACCTCAATGGGAATATGCAGCAATATTAGCTTCTATAGGGAGCAAATGGACCTCCCAAATCCAAAAATACAATCAGATTTCAAAAATTTAAATTTTGATTTTCCGAATTTCTGCCGCCGACTGTGACCTTGCCGACTTCCGGCGCTCCCAACGCGCCATTTTTAGAGCTAGGGAAACGAAATACATACCAAACGATAGAGAATTGATCAAGGAACACGATAGTGAAGGTTTCAAGTCGATATCTCCCACCGTTTTGCCGCAATCGCCGCCGAAAGTTGAAAAAAAGTCTATTTTTCCGAAAATTTGACCTTTGACCGGTCAAAAGTAGGTCAAATGTTGACCTAGGACCAAAAAATATACCACCAATCGCGAGATCTCGTTGAGAGCAATCCGTTGGTTTTTTCCGCTAAGCTCTACGACCTTCCGTTTCGAAACGCCAGGGGGGGGGTCGTAACAACCCCCCCCCCCTGGTCGTTCGTGTTATGAGAAATGGCCTGGTCGTGCGAGGGTTAACAATCAAACAAGTAACAACTCAATGACTGAAGTTATCGCTTTTAGTTCAACTCGCAATGAGCTTCTGTAGGCTCTCCGGGTGACGCTCTAACACGCCAGCTTTTTATCTACGTTCCACTCCAAGCCCGGCGCAGAGCCTCCCTTAGCTCACTTGACTAATGACTATTCTCTCAGAACTGACCTGGGTGTGCGCGATGACGCGGACCACACTGCAGTACTTCTTTATCTTCTGCAGCTCGCGGGCAATCTCCTTCTTGCCGGCCTCATCCGACCACTTCTTAGAGGCCTTGGTGAACGCCTTCTTCTTGGAGGCACCCCTGCGGACGAGTCAGCGGAGGCGGCGGGGGGACGGGACGGTGTCAGCCGGCGGCCGTCTGGTGCCTCCGCCGGGCCAGCGCGGGGGGCAGAGCAGACGGCCGCGGCTGGGAGGCGCCTCATCGCCGCAGCGGGCGAGCGGAGACTGGGTGGACAGGGGCCGTGAGCAGCCGACGGCGGAGGGTGTGTGCGGGGAATGAAACAACACACTCAGAAATGCGGACCAACAACGTATTATTATGTTTGCGGAACCGTGAATTTACGCATTATTGTGCTAATTAACTCATTCGCTTGTAAAGCAGCTCTAAAAAATGAGTTGACATGATTCAATGGTTTGATCGACTTTGTCTGCGGAATATAAATTGCGAAGTTACAATAAATATCGATTTATGCAGCAAATATTTTCAATCCAGCCATAGCAGATAATCTCGCATTTCCTAATGATCCCAGCGTCGCACGCCGTGCCGTCACTGACCAGTTCTTGTAGAAGCGGCGGCGGCACTCTTCGCTGAGGTGCTCGGCGAACAGCGTCTTGAAGGCGCGCAGACCCTTGGGCGTCTCGACGTAGCCGACGATGCCAACAATCACCATCGGAGGCGTCTCGATGATCGTCACCGGCTCGACGATCTCCTTCTTGTTCAGCTCTGGCGGATGCAGAGAGCGGTGTGTTAGTGTTAGAGGTTCGGCAGGGGAACGTAGGTCAGCTATAAAGGGTGCGGCAAATAGTCGGGATACTGACACGGACAGTCAGTGACCAACGGTCGCTGGTGATGATGATGATTTGGTGTTTTAGGGCGCACCAGCAACGAGGCTATATGGCGCCCATATCTAACCAATCTTCCTCAAAGTCGGGGGTTAAAAATCACCTGAAGCCCGGAGGCCGTGATGAACGAAAAGAGGCGAAAGGAATCGAGAAAAGGGGAGTCGTCGCGGAGAAGTGTTCTCAAAGAGAGCTGGGGGCCACGCAATCCAAAAAACCGCAATCGCTCAGCGTCCAGTCTCGGGCACTCGACCAAGACGTGTCGGACCGAAAGTCGGTCACCACATCTGGTACAAATAGGCCTGGAGCCAACGCCGATAAGGAACCCGTTTTATCTTACTATCAGAGACACAAAGCGGGAGGAGGCAGAGGAAACAGACAGGCTACATGAAAGGGGAAGGAGGGGATACAAAACAGCACTGGAGCACAAAGGTTTACTACGTTGAGCTATCCCGCAACGTGAAGCCAAAGTTCATCGGCTCACGTCTACCGTTAAGTCCTACTGATGCGCTACTACTCGCGTTTACAGCCAATGCCGCGCGGCGACTAGTTCAATTACAGTTTCGGTTGTGTCCCACATGCTCACTGCGGCGGCCACTGGAGGGGGCGCTGCCGCAGCTATCTCGGGGAGCGCTCGCTGTAGGCACTCTCTGATCTCGGACAGACAGGTAGTCTCCGTCCGGGAATGGGTAGAGCGCCACACTGGCATTCAACACAGTAACTACACTTACTTCCACACACAACGCTAGACTCGAGCTACATGCCCTCTCAGACCATTTTGACCATCGTCTAGTGTCCCTTACTCAGACCCCTTACAAGGCTCATCACTTTTGCCCATAATCTATTTTTCTACAAACTTCTTTCCATGCACCAATCATCATACATGCAGTTAACTCATCCCCCCTATTATTTCCTTACCCCTAAAATATCATCCTCCCCATGCTGTTTTCCCTCTTCCAAGCCAGCCTCGCCACCCCAACTCACTGGATCCGGGACGGTCGGCCTCCCTCACAATGTGAGTCATGCCCGCCTTGTAGCCGATGAAGGCAGTCAGATGGCACGGCTTGTTCTTGTCATTCTTGGGGAAAGTCTTGACGCGGCCGCGGTGGCGCCTTGCCCGCTTCTTGGGGTAGAACCCCATCGAGCCATGGCGGGGCGCTTCGAATTTGCGGTGCGACTGTGAATAGAGGGGACGGGGTGAGCTGATTGCAGCAAACGGGGAATGAAAGAGGCCGGTTTCGAGCTCGTTGGTAACCCGAGCCCGGCCAGGGAGTGTCTGAACACCTCCCCCCCCCCCGTCTAACTCGGCTCCTGGGATACATTCTGACACGCGGTAAGCGGCATTCGAGATAAAGTGTCAAAAACCATGACGAAAGTGCTTCATTTTTTTAGGTCAGGTCACCGGAGGTCGACAAATATAAAATTATGCATATTCCAACATTTTTTGACAAACCAGCGCATAACTTGAGAATTGACCCATGCCCCGTAGGGCTATCAGCGGACCATACCACCCGTAGGGGGGAGGCGTTCCCCCCCCCCCCCCCAAGATCTCGGAAATTTACCGGCCGATTTTCACAATTCAAACGGCGTTCGATAGCCCCACCAGGGAACCAAATTTCATTGATCTAGGTCAAACCAATGACGTCACAGGTCAGGTCAAAGGTCGGATTCTCACCGTTCACAGGCATTTCAAGAAATGTGTTGTGAAATCGAGTAAATTGGAAAGTTATTGAAAACCATCGATGCTACATTGTTCTTCAAACACATACTTTGCTACCTGAGGTCACTGATACCAGGTCAGGTCACATAGGTGAGGTCGCTGGGGGGTCACAATATGAAAGTGTCGTGTGATACATGTTTTATGGTCCAATTTACATGACAAATGCGATTATGTGGGTCAGCCTTTTGGGCCAGCTTAGGTCCCGTTTGGTGAAGGTCAGGTCAAATTAGGTCTATTGGTTACACTCCCCCAAATTAATTAGGTAAAATTCCATCCCTGTTGTTTATTGTAATTAAATCAAATCTTTAAAGGGACCCTCCCACCTTAACATTAGTTTTGAGTTGAGATAGCCAAGTTTGCGGCCAGGCTCAGAAACCACCATTTATCCTGGTCGCAACCCCCGCAGCTTTATGGTGTTCAAGAAATTTCTTCCCTTTACTTGCAGGGTGGGACCAGCGTGGTCCCTATCTCTTAACCATTACGGGAGTCTGATGACGTCATCAGGCTTTCGAACGTCCGTTAAATGTTTGACTAAAACGTTTTGTAGCACGCGGTGGTATATGCTGCTTTGCGCGCAACAAATGCCGCACTTTCAAATAAAGTCGCTAGGAACAGCGGAAATCCCAAAAAGTAAACAAAAGTAAAAGGCTAATATCTTGAAAACCGGTGAATATTTTTCGATGAAATTTGGTAGATATTCGTTTTTGCTCTTTCTGAACCGAGCGACATCACTTTCATGCCAATTCATTAACTTTTTTGAAGGTGGGAGGGTCCCTTTAAACAATTTTCTTTCAAAACACCAATCCATTTATTGAATGGCCAGCTGATTGTGATGCCCAGAACCTGCAGAAAAGCCGTTTTCCTATCGCCATTTTCGAGTCAATTCGCCAAATTTAATCAAATCACGCTAATTTCTAGTGGAAAATGGAAGCCTTTTCTCTCCGATAAGTGGACGTGATACCGCAAGTACCGGCTTTTTATACCATTTTTCACCCTTAAACGCAGTTCACACTTGCCCGTAAGGTCTGCCGGTGACGGGCCCGACACCGTCAAAACGGCCGAAACCGACGGAGCGACGGCCGTCAGGTCGACGGTCATGTGTGAACCTGCAGCGTTTGACGGCCGGCAACAGCTGACTGCGCCGGCGCCGGACCTGACAGCCGTCGCTTTGGAAAGTTCAGCAATGTTCAACTTTTGACGGTGACGGGCCCGCCGGTTTGAATGCCTGCGTGTTGGAGGAAGAGGAATAGGAACGTTATCATGCAGAATGAAGCTTAAATACATTTTTAAGAGCACTTACACCATTTTCTTTCCATTTGTTGAGATCAAAGTGTTTATTACGGCACGATATCTTGAGATTACATCCCTGATTTAAGTCAGCGAACCGATGTGTCTTTCATGAAAATAATGTTGCAGCATTCTTTGACAAAAAATGTAAATGCGTGGTATTTTATTTCTGTAATTCAGAGAATATTTTTAACTTCTCAGCCTCTACCCTCCCCATCCCCTTCCCCCATCTGCGTCCATCTCAGTCAGGGAAACTATGGTAAAATCTGCTATTTTTAGCAGTCTGCTATTTTTGACAGAAATCTGCCAAAAATGGGTATGCATGTGATGTCATCATACCCAAATGTAACAGATTTGGGTACGGCCCCATACAAAAGCAGATCTACACCCTAATTGAAGCAAATGCGCATCAAATGCCTGGCAGATTCATGATGAGAATAGCAGTTGGGGAAACTACGAGGAGCCAAACAAAAATTGGATTAGCCAATCAGCGGCTGGAGTGGGCGGGGCGATGACCATATATGGTCATAAAATCAGACAACTTCATCATTTCAATGAATTTTTGCATTCAAATGAAAAAATAAGGCATAAGAATGTTTTTTAACCACACAAGACCTACACTCACCCAGTGCATAATTAACTGGCAGCTATAAATCGCAGAGTTACAACGCAAGGTCAAACCGTGATTGGCAAATATGGCGGATTGAAACAGACGCGCCAAAACATGTAAGCAGTACCGTGGTTTAAAAATGTCATTATTTTTATTATTTTGTTTATGGTTTTTTAATTGTGGTTAAGTTATTATTTTAAAATTAAATATCTTTGTTTATTGTAATCAAATTAAATCTATTAACAATTTTCTTTCATAAAACCAATCCATTTATTGAATGGCCAGCTGATTGTGACGCCCAGAACCTGCGAAAAAGCCATTTTCCTATCGCCATTTTCGAGTCAATTCGCCGCGTTTAATCAGATCACGCTAATTCCTAGTGAAAAATGGAAGCCTTTTCTCTCCAATAAGTGGACGCGATACCGCAAGTACCGGCTTGTTATACCGTTTTTCACCCTTAGTAGCTGGGGCTGCATTTATGTCCATATATGGTCATCAAAAGTCCATTTATTGACCAATCAATTTTTTGACATTTGCCTCGTAGTTTCCCCAACTGATAGTGCTGAGTGATCTCTGCTATTTTTGTTCAGATCCGACTATTTTCAAATTCATTATTTGAAAATAGTCTGATCTGAACAAAAATATCAGAGGACATTCTCAGCACTATTCTTATCATGAATCTGCCAGGCATTTGAAGCGCATTTGCTTCAATTAGGGTGCAGATCTGAGCGCTGTTCGGCAGCCGGCTATTTTGTGTGCAGGGTATGACGTATTTTGCGAGCCGACATCACAGGCGGTGACGTCGGCTCGCGCGCGAGCCGAGCGCCAACGACAAACTAACGGAAACCCTCGGACACCCTCGGGGCATAAACCGCGGAGTAGCATATTGAGCGAGTCTTACAATGAAAATTCATATATTTTCGTTTCTCAAATGATAATCAGGGTGTCTCTTACCTTTTTACATATCATTTAGGCTTACCTAACACTTCAGTTGCCAAATATCTGCAATTTATTCAAGCAAAGGTATTTTCAGTAAATATCAATGGTATAGACCGAAATCTTTTGAATAAAAACTCCAACCAACAGAAATAAAAATAACTTAATATATTCCAACCATTTCCTCCAAATAAACAACATAAAAACTCACTTTTACACACATCATTCATAATAAAGCATACTAACACGCCGCTTTTGACAATGGCGGCGTCGAGTGGCGCGCTGCTAGCGCTCTTTTTCGATCACAGACCCTGCACGCGCGCGAGCACACTAAGTCACGTCCGGGGGGCACAGGTATATGAAAAATCGCAGTGACGTAACACTTTTCTTGCTTCTCATTGGTCAATACTGCCCGTTGCCAGGGTAACATGCACGTATGTGAGCGCAGGCAAGAGTACTAGCCGGCCACCGATCAGGGCTCTGCCTTTGTATGGGGCCCAAATCTGCTATATTTGGGTACGATGACGTCACATGCGTACCCATTTTTAGCAGATTTCTGTTAAAAATAGCAGATTTTACCATAGTTTCCCCGGCTGATCTCGAAAATGGTGCTCCATTTCTGTCCCAACATATGGCAGCCAATGAGAGCTGCCAAATCTCAACTTTCATTTGACGGGCTGCAGGCCATCAGGTCTACGGTGACGGGCCGGACACCGGCAGACTGACGGTCATGTGTGAACTACGTTTTAGCAGGTAGCGGGGGCTGCATTGATGCCCATATATGGTCATCAAAGTCCATTTATTGACCAATCAATTTTTGGATTTTCGCCTCATAGTTTCCCCAACTGATGCTTACTAAGACCCAAACCATGCAACAGGTCTTGCACGTACTTCCAGTACAGCATGCTCCAAGGAGTGAGCATTTCAATTTTTGGAATAGTTGGTTTTCAGCATCGCATTTTTAGAGCATTACCAAAATGGAAAGGTTTCAATAAATGAACCACAAATACCAAAGCCCAACAGAGACTGCAGCATCTGTTGAAAACTGCCACTCGGCACTTACCACTTGTTTGAACAATCAACCAAACGGCAAACGCAACCTAACCTAACACAATCTTGAATGATGCTTAATCCAAAAATCAAAATGGCTAAAAAAGCACCTGGCACGAATGATAATGAATAAAGACACGTGGCAGCTGCGCCGGAAACGGGTTGAAAATCCAGAATCAAAGGCCAGAAAGATTAGACAAAAAATACAAATCAAAATAGCGCATTGCTTATAACAAACACTGTACGAGCAATTTATAAGAACAATTTCATGTCATTAAGCCGAAATATTTCATAAGAACCGGAGCACCTGACAACCGGACCTACCATGGCGAAGACTCAAACGGAAAGACCAATGAAGTGGTGAATGAGTGGAACTTCCTTTCAGTGATAAGGAAAATGATGCCGGTTTTTTACACTCCTCAATCAAATTTCAAAATTTATAAAATAAATTTCCGATTACTGAAATAAACATTGAAAAATATTTTGTTTTAAAATTATACATTATGCCTTCAAAATGTCGTCATAATTGCCAGGGTGGAATTTTCAGCACTACATACTTTTTAGAGTGGCAGCATTTTAGCATTATGAGACCGGAGCAGTGCTTCAATGTGGGCACTGGATCGACAAAGGTCTTCAATTGGCTTCCCAAAATGCAACTAGTTAGTAACTACAGCCGGCGTGTGGTAGGTGTTGATACTAACGTTTGGCAGGAATGCTCATCAGCTCAGGACTGATATGAATGGGTCACATGCAAATGCAATGCAACAAACACTCATTACCCCACCAAAAAAAAACTTATTTTAACCCGTACCGGCCGTTGGGCTAATTGGCGGACCCTGCCAATCATTGGGTTGGGCCCGTTTCGGCCACTGCTACGATCTCGGAACTACCACAGAGCGATTTTCATTTCGTTCGATAGCCCCAGCGGGGAAACACCTTGTGACCAAATTTCATTGACCTAGATGAAACCTATGACGTCACAGGTCAGGTCAAATGTCGCATTTTCACCGTTCACACACTTCACACCCAGTAAACATGCCGACGTCGGCCCGACGTCGGCCGACGTCGGGGTGACGTCGGCAACTCGGTATCGGCATGCCGACTTCGGCCCGACGTCGGTCCAACCTCGGCACGACGTCGGCTGGATGTCGGATATGCCCGCATGTACCAACGTCCAGCCGAGGTCCAGCCGACGTCGGGCCGACGTCGGACCGAGATCAATTGCTGAGGTCCAACCGACGTCGGGCCGACGTCGGAGCGACGTCGGACCGACATCGGCCGCTGTTTTGACCGTTAAAATAATATAAAATACATGTTTCATGTTTCATAAAGAGCTTCTGTATTCAAAATATCCTCAGGAAACTCAAATCTTCCTCCACGCCGCAACCCCCTGATCCGGAATGGACGGGAAACTTTATCCCATTTGGGATTGCCCGTAAGCCGAGCTCGCCCGTAGCCGGGTGCGGTGAGTGCTAAGGGGCTGCTCGGCCTATCCTTTGGTCAGGCTCAGTCCCGGCAACTCACCAGGGCCGGGCCCAGTTCATATAGAAAGGCCAGATCGGCAAGTGTCACTGCCAAAGTGCCACTTATCAAAGGGACACTTTGGGAAACGTTGGTGTAGGTGTGTAAGAGTGGCTATATGAATCCATTGTGGGGTCGCCCTTTCCAATAAGTGTCACGTAACAGCAATGGGACCAGGGACTCTATATAAACTGGACCCAGGGTGCTCGCCAAGAAGACCAATGTCTCCATCCTATCATCCTTCCGGCTCTGAAATGGTCTTGTCAGACCGAAAGGGCATAACCCAAAAAAAACAAACTAAATTTGCTATCTGGCTGCGTGGTGTAGTGGTTAGCGCACTAACCTCGCGTTCAAATGACACGAGGTTGGAATCCCATCGCCGGCTGATGCTTTTGGCGTGTTGTCCCAATAAACATGCCGACGTCGGCGACTGGGGGGCTCGAATCCCGCCGCCGGTTGATATTTTTTGCGCGTTGTCCCAATAAACATGCCGACGTCGGCTCCTTCGGTCCAACGACAAACGATCTCGTCAACCTCGGCAAAAGACCTCTGCCCGACGTCGGCTCGACGTCGGCTGGACTTCGGCTGGACGTCGGAACATGCGGGTATATCCGACGTCCAGCCGATGTCGGGCCGAGGTTGAACCGACGTTGGGCCGACGTCGGGCCGAGCCTCGGCCCGGTTTACTGGGCAGGCATTTCAAGAAATGTGCTGTGAAGTCGTGTAAATTGGTAAGTTATTGAAAACCATCGATTTGATTCGTCAAACACATACTTTGCTACCTGAGGTCACTGATACCAGGTCAGGTCACAGAGGTCAGGTCACTGGGGATCACAATATGAAAGTGTCGTGTGATGCATACCTATTGTATGGTCCATTTTACATGAAAAATGCGATCATGTGGGTCAGGCAGCCTTTGGCACCAGCTTAACCCGGCAGTTGCTGGGGTATTTCGCCACCCACCGTTTGCTGGGGGGGGGGCGTTAAACGCCCCCAGCCGATAACTCGAGAACCAATAGGCGCAGCGAAACGCACGAGGCGGCAAACGAAAGAGCGCGACGAGACGCTTCAGATGAGTACTTTAAAGTTGAATTTTGAGGTCACAGGTCGGGTCAAGGTCAGGTCAAACACCTGAAATCGGGCTTTCAGTAGCATGGACTTCAGGACTTCGCAATGGGCGCCTCTCATAGGCGTAGGAACAGGGGGGGCCGGGGGGGCCATGGCCCCCCCACTTTCGGAGGTGGGGGGGCCAGCAATGTTAACTGGCCCCCCCCACTTTTTGCTGACTTAAGTGTCTGTCTGTACCTAACCTACCACCTGGTAACTGGATAACTATTCAGCTTGCCCTTTAATGAGGATTCCTTTTTGTTTTTACAGCGTTATTGACCGCAATTTCCTTCACTCAATGAAGGAAACCATATCAGAGACAAGACTGTGAGTCCTGGTGACAGCATTTTGTTGAATACGAGGCGCGGGACAGCGAGCACTAAAAAGGTATAGGCAATACTAAGACAATACTAGCACGGTGCAGGAGAATGCGTATACAAACGACCAACGCTTGACCTTATCTGCTTGGGGTCGGCATAGTTCGTCAAAGGCGTACTAGCTGGGGGCCAGGGTGACCGTGCCTCAGCCTCGGTTCAAACAGGCTGGGGGCCAGCAATGTCTGTTTCTGTCCCTCCCCCTTCCACTTTCAGTGCAGTGGCGGTCGCAGAGGGGGATCAGGGTCATGCCCTTCCCCCCTCCAAAGGCTAATCAGGGGGCCGTCATATCATTTGGCCCCCCCCCCCAAACAACCAATGGGCTCCCATGGGCGTATGGGGCTCTGGCCCTTATTCGATTGTCACGAGACTCAAGAATCCCACGCTAGCTATTAACAGCTCCCAAACCAGTCTTTGAGGGTCCTACACTGATCTCGGAGGGCCCTTCAGTGGCGGTCAAGCGCCCACATTGACCGCTGAGAACCCACATTGACCTCATTTGAGGGCCCCTAAACCGGCCTCAAGGGCCCAGCCGGCGTCTGAGGGCCTCACACCGGCCTCTGGTGGCCTCATTTCTGTCTCTGGGGTCCCAAGACTAGCCTTTAGGTGCCTTTGAGGGCCCCGCACTGAATTCTGAAGACCCGATGCCGGCCTCTAAGGGTCCGCATCGGCCTCTGAGGGTCCACCTTGGCCTGAGGGGTCCAACGCCGGCCCATGCCGGTCTTTTAGGGCCCCACACTGACCTCTAAGGGCCCATGCTGACCTGTAAGGACCCACATTAGCCTATGAGGCCTTGCACGGGATTCTGAAGACCTGATGCCGGCCCCTGAGGCCCATCTTGGTTTTTGAGGGCCTTCTGCTGGTTTCTGGGTTCCAACACCGGCCCATGCCGGTATTTTAGGGTCCCACATTGACCTCTAAGGGCCCCGCACTGGATTCCGGAGATCCGATGCCCGTCTCCAAGGGTCCGCATCGGCCTCTGAGGGCTCACCTTGGCCTATGAGGGCCCTCCGCTGGTCTCTAGGTTCCAAGTCCCGCCCATGCCGGTCTGTTACGGCCCCACACTGACCTCTAAGGGCCCATGCTGGCCTGTAAGGACACGCATTAGTCTCTGAGGGCCTTGCACTGGATTCTGAAGACCCGATGCTGGCCTCTGAGGCCCATCTTGGTTTTTGAGGGTCTTCTGCTGGCCTCTGGGGTCCAACACCGGCCCATGCCGGCATTTTAGGGTCCCACACTGACCTCTGAGGGCCCATACTGGCCTGTAAGGACCCACATTAGCCTCTGATGGCCCAAGTCGGCATCTTAAGGTCTCATCCTGCCCTTTGCAGGCCCTGTACTGGTCTCTGAGGGCCTTAACCCTCGCCGGCCGGGGGGGGGGGCGGGTGCCGCCCCTCCATAGGTTTTTTTCGCGATAGCTCCGAACACGCCGGCGATAGAGAGCTGAAGCTTGGCATACCTGACCTTTGAATCAAACGGGATCTTTTGACACCAACCGCATTTTCGGGTCAGATCAGGTCACTGAGCCATGTGGTCATAAGTGAACCTCTGCACGGTCTTCAGATGTCGCATCTTCGCAACGCCCTCACTGCCAGAGGAGATTTCACAGGGAAATGAACCTTGGAGGATCTAGTATCCAATAGGAGTCTCTCAACTTGTATGATGTATATCTCGGATTTTTCCTAAAGTTCATATGAGGTCATGTCATTTTCGTGACCTCACCATTAGGTATACCTAAGTCAATGGGGATAAACTGAAAACTTTTTCTGGCGCCGGGAACGATCGATCTCCAACTATCTCAAGCACACCGAATCGTGATTTCATGCACTCCTTGCAAGGTTCGATGCGTCACTTTTGCAATATTGACCTTGCGCGACGTCATTTATGAAGTTATAAGGGTCTTATTAGTTTTTCGTCAATAACTAGGTACCGATCAAATTGAGCTAGCGAGTCGGGAAAGCCACCTATGGACTCAAGAAGACCTGCTGAATCGAATGATATGCGACATGACCTCCTTCGACCAATTTCGTGACCTGGGGACGCCGACCTGACCGTGACCCGAGGTCAACACCCTAAGTTTACCTCACCCAAACAAAAAGTATATCATTCGACGCGCCTGAGAGAGGCGAACACGATGCTGGCAAAATCGCGGCTCTGCGGCCATTTTTTGCGAAGTTATTCACCAAAAACGGAACCGTGCCTTGAGGCACTTGACCTGACCTCAGAGGTCACCGGTTTTTGTTTGTTTTGTTGGGTTAGGCCCTTTCGGTCCAATGAGACCATTTCAGAGCCGGAAGGATGATAGGATATAGGGGGAGACATT